TTGAGGGCAGCGGAGGAGAATGGGGAACAAACAAAAAGATGCATTATATACAGGTACAAATTCCCCATGCTGAATGTGATCGTTATGCAAAATGAAGACATTTCACAGAAGAAGTACAAATGACCAATAAATACATGAAGAAACACTGAACTTTGATAGTCATTAGATAAAGGCAAATTAAAGCAAGAGTGAAATTCTGTATTACCCATAAGGAAAGGCTATCATCGAGAAGACAAATAATAATAAATGCTAGAGAGGCCAAGGGAGAAAAGGAACCCTTCCATGTTGTTGGAGGGAAGGTAGACTAGTAAAACCACTGTGGAAATCAGTACAGAGATTCCTCAAAAAACAAATACTAGAAGTTCCATTTGACTCAGCTCTTCGCCTTCTAGGTATCTTCCTGAAAAAGTTAAAGACATCGTGTTACAGTGATCTATGCACACGCGTATGCATGTTTGCTGTAAGTAGAGAAATTCATAATAGCTAAATCCTGAAAGCAGCTTAGACGACCATTCACAGATGAATGGATAAAGGAAATGAGGGATTTACTCACAGTGGAGCACTACTCTGCCATAAAGAATAAACTTGAGTCACTTGTAGGGAAATGAATGCATCTTGAAACCATAATCTTAGTGAAATAAATTAGACGTACAAGCTTAAATATCACATTGTTTCCCTTATATGAGAAACAGAGTAAAAATAAAGAGCAAAATAACAGATAATAGGAAGTAGGAAGGAACATCGTTCTCAGAAGAGAAGAGGATCAAGAGATGGGGGAGGAGGGGTAAAGGATGAAAAACGTAACTGGGATGTGTTCTGCGCACACACAAACTCCACATAAGGGAGGTAAACATTATAGACTATACATATGCACTAATAAACAAATAATGAAGAAACATATCGAGTTGTTTTTGTCTGAATTATCTTGTCTCCCCCTCCCCCCATTTTCTGGTAGTATGAGGATTGAAGCTAGGACCTTAGCACTTGAGCTACACCCCCAGCCCTTTTTATTATTCTTAAAAATTTCTAGACAGAGTCTTGCTAAGTTACTAAGGTGCCCAGTTGGGTTCAAATTTGCAATTCGCCTGCCTCAGTCTCAGTCAGAGCATCAGGATACAGGTGTTGATATCACTCCCGGCTTTTCCTTCACTCCTGAAAGGGATTACCTGGGTAGACTATAGCATCTTTCAGTTAAACACTCTCATCAAGAACTGAGCCTACTTATTATTTTGTAGTTGGTTGGTGTGTTTTATTTGTCTGCATTTAAGGCTTTGTGAGATGCTCCTGTATTCACCAGAGTTTTCAGTTTCTTCTAGAGTTAGGTGTGGATTTCTTCTATTTACACTGCCTGAGAACTATAGGGTTCTTGAATTTCTGCATTTCTGAATAATTCTGGAATATTCTTGTTATGTACTATTTTACCTTTTCCATTTTTTTCTAGTGTCCTTTCACAGGACTTGATGTTAACTTTTCATGATAGCCTCTGTGATTCTTCTCCATTTTTTAATCAATTCCTTCTGTGAAATGAACTCTGGGCAATTTCTCTAGGTTGATCTCTAAGTTCACCAGTTTCTTCTCCACGTATGTCTAATATTATGGATATTTTAGTATTCATTGTATTTTTATATCAATTGATGAAGTGTTAAAGATTGTTTCATGTTCTATGTTCACATTTTTATATCCTATGTTTTATGTCTGATAATTCAAATATTTGTAGTATCTTACAGTTGGTTCTACTGCCTATGTTCTGCTAGTTTTCACTGCGAGTCATTTACTTAGGTATTTATTTTTTACTGTAAACTTAATTTTTCACAGCATATTTTGCAGGAATCATTTGAAATTCAGGTAGAAATAGGTTATATCAAGGTAAATCTATGTTTGCTTCCACCAACTGTCTGAAAGCTCTATCAAGCTTGTTCCGCTGTAGATTAAATTACCTTACTTTAGGGTCATACAGATCCTGTGGGTTTAAACTTCAGCTGTGCATCAGGATCAGCTTGTGGGAACAGATTTTCACAGTTCTTCCAGTCTCAGAGGAAAAAATGCCTCTGACAAGTACAAGTAGTGGTCATTCAAGCACAGATGTGATTCCTTGGATTCTGCAGTGATTGGATGTGTGTCCCCAAGCCTTAGTTCCACTGGGAGTGGTAAAATATTTGAGGTAGGGCCTTCTGATTACTGAAGCTGTGTTCTTGAAGGGGAAAGTGGGACTGCAGCCTCTCTTCTTCTCTCTCCTTCCTTCTCAGCTACCATGGGGTGGAACACGTTTTCTCCGCTATGATTGCTGCCTCAACACCGGCCGAAGGCCATGAGGCCCAGTGACCATGAACAGAAGCCTCTGAAACTATGAAGCAGAATACCACCTCTTTTCCTTATAAATTGAATATCCCAGGCTCTACTTTACAGTAATGAAACAAGAGCTTACACAAAACAAGAACTTAACCCAGACCCCAGCCTGTTCAGGAGTCTCTTATCATGAACTATCTTCGGTAGGCCCTTCCTACCCTCTTCACACCGTGCAGGCAAGCAGGAGCCTAGGGATACAGGGCTCCATAAAACACTCAGGAGAAATACTAGCTTTGGCACTTACCCCCCAAGGCATCTGGTGCAGGAATGCTTTCTTTTTATAAACACTTAAATAATTGACTCCTCACGCTTTAATCAAGAGAATCATTCACACTGTCTAATTTACCATGTTGTCAGAAACTGAAGTTTGATCTCTTCTTTCGTTCTTGCACCCAACAAAATTTTGCTCAGTTGCTCCATTATGCTCACACTGCGTCAAGGTTAGAGACACAGAAAAAGCTAGCAAACGGTTTCTGATATCCAGGTGTGCACAGTATACTGGGAGACAACAGACCATGACCTGCAACATCAGATGGTATGGTTTATATCTAGATGTCCCCCCAAGCCTCATGTGCTTATTATAGGTGGGGCTTTTGTAAGGTGACTGGATCATGGGTGTGTGGTATTGGCTTAGTCCACTGGGTGTGGTGGGGTAGCTGGGTGTGATGTTGGGAGGTGAAGCTTAGTGGGAAGAGGTGGGCCACTCCACAACCTGGTGTGGACGGTATAATATCCCTTATCCCTCCTTGATCTGTCTCTGCTTCCTGCAGTCACACTATGATTTTTTTTTGTATTGGCTTAGTCCACTGGGTGTGGTGGGGTAGCTGGGTGTGATGTTGGGAGGTGAAGCTTAGTGGGAAGAGGTGGGCCACTCCACAACCTGGTGTGGACGGTATAATATCCCTTATCCCTCCTTGATCTGCCTCTGCTTCCTGCAGTCACACTATGAGCTATTTCTCCTTTGCCATGCCACCTTGCCTTGGAGCCAGATTACTATGGACTAAAACCTCTATGAAAAGTGAGCCAAATAAAGCCCTCCTCTAATTTGAGGGTGTCAGGCACCGTGAAACTAAGATATAAGAGCTGATATAATTTTTCAAAAAGGAAAATAAATGAATGAGAACTAATGGGCATTTACCATAGGAACCAGATGCTTTATGCATGCTGACAAGCAAGTAAA